TGCAATGTAAAGCAGTATGTCCGTGCTGATGGGAGAGATCTGTTTTGTTTACAAACAGACCTCTCCCCTTTCACTGTTTCTCGGCAGTCGCTGGGTGCCAGCGGGGAATCTCCGGCTGGGACTCGGTTGATCGATAGCTGTAGCCACTAGTGGCGGCGCATGCGCCCCCCCCACCTGGAAATGCAAAATCGCGTGTGTGTGTATATGTGTGTATGTGTGTGTATATATATATATAGTAATGTAATTTTGCGCAGCCCTGCCACCCTGTAACAGTAGTTTTGCTGTAGGGCGGGTGGGGAACCAGTTAATAACAGGTGTTTAGGGCACTTTTTTTGGCTTCCCGAATGCCCAGTAAAGTGGCCTACAATGGATAATATGTGGTGGTGCACCAAAATGAAAATTCTGGACCGAAACCGAAAATTCAGGATGCATTTGGCCGAAAACCGTAATTGACAGTTTTTTTTTTTTACATATACAGCGGGTAAAATAAGTATTGAACACATCACTATTTTTCTAGGTATATATATTTATTGACATGAAATTTTCACCATGTGTCGGTAAAAACCCATGCAATCCATATGTACAAAGAAACCAAAACAAATACATTCAGAAATTAAGTTATGTGTAATAAAATGGAATGACACAGGGAAAAAGTATTGAACACATGAAGAAAGGGAGGTGCAAAAAAGACATGTAAAGCCAAGACACCAGCTGAAATCTATCAGTAATTAGCAATCCTTCTCCTTGTTGTAAATTAGTATCAGCTGGTTCAGTCTCAACCGATTGCCTGTAAAAAGGTGTATCATTACCAGTATGTCACACAAGAAACATCTCACAATAGGTAAAAGCAAAGGTCTCTCTCAAGACCTTAACAACCTTATTGTTGCAAAACCTACTGATGGCATTGGTTACAGAAGGATTTCTAAACTTCTGATTGTTCCAGTGAGCACTGTTGGGGCCACAATCCGGAAGTGGAAAGACCATCATTTCACCTCGACCAGGTGCTCCTCGCAGGATTTCTGACAGAAGAGTGAAGAGAATTATCAGAAGAGCTGTCCAGGAGCCAAGGACCACTTGTGGAGAGCTTCAGAAAAACCTGGAAACAGCAGGTACAAATGTGTCAAAGAAAACAATAAGTAATGCACTCAACTGCCATGGCCTGTATGCATGCTCACCACCCAAGACTCCATTGCTGAAGAAAAAGCATGAAGTTTGTTTAAAGTTTGCTGCACAACATTCAGACAAGCCTGTGTAATACTGGGAGAATATAGTCTGGTCAGATGAGAGCAAAATTGAACTCTTTGGATGCCATAATACACACCATGTTTGGAGGTCAAATGGCACTGCACATCACCCCAAAAACACCATACCAACGGTGAAGTTTGGAGGTGCGAACATCATGGTGTGGGGCTGTTTTTCAGCATACGGAACTGGCAAACTTCATGTCGTTGAAGGAAGGGTGAATTAAAAAATGTACCAAAATATTCTTGATAAATCTCTGCTGTCATCTACCAGGATAATGAAGGTGAAATGAGGGTGGACATTTCAGCAAGACAATGATGCCAAACACAAAGCCAAGGAAACTCTCAGTTGGTTTCAATGAAAGAAAATAAAGCTGCTAGAATGGCCCAGCCAATCACCTGACTTGAATCCAATAGAAAATCTATGGAAAGAACTAAAGATCAGAGTTCATAGATGAGGCCCACAGAACCTTCAAGATTTGAAGACTTGTATGTGTAGAAGAATGGGCCAAAATCACACCTGAGCAATGCATGTAACTAGATTCTCCATACAGGAGGTGTCTTGAAGCTGTCATTACCAACAAAAGTTTTTGTACGAAGTATTACATTTCTGTTAGCATGTTCAATATTTTTTTCCCTGTGTCATTCCATTTTGTTACACATAACTTAATTTCTGAACTTATTTGTTTTGGTTTCTTTGTATGTATGGATTGCATGGGTGGGTTACTGACATGTCAATAGCACCTTTAGAAATATATTTCCTAAGAAAAATGGTGACGTGTTCTGTACTTATTTTAGCTGCTGTAACTGTATTATTTCGACTTACTATCATGAATTTAAATGAATATGAATTTATTTTCAGCACCTTTTTGGCCAGTAGACTGCTTTCACACTGAGCAGTTTTTGAAGCGTTTTGCATATTTAAAAAAAAAAAAACAAAAACCCTGCAAGAAAAGTTTAAGAAAAATGCATCACTTTAAATTCAATGTATGTCTTTACACTGATCTGTTGCATTTCTCTTGCGGTGAAATCCTGCTTGCTGCATTTTTGGTGCATATTTGGGCTGTTAAAAAAAAAAAAAAATGCACCTCCCCATTGAGGCCTGGACTGTTGTATGCAGGGTTCAGTCGAGTGTTTATCTAATTTTGAACTTGGTGGGGAGTTTGCTACATGTTAGGGCTGCACCTTTTTATATATATTTCTATGTCATAATTTGGGTGTGGGAACACTTGTCAATGTGTGCAGCTTACACCATAGAAGTCAGAGTGATCCATTCATCCTGTTTGGCAGCGCATAATTTATTTTCTTTGTTGCAGAATGGATTGTTACTGCATCCACTTAGGTGAGTGTTTGTTTTTTTGACCGCTTCCCGACCGCCCTATAGCAGAAATACTGCTACAGGGTGGCACGGGTGCGCAAAATCCTGTGTATATATACGTGATTTTGCATTTCTGGGTAGGGTGGCGCGCCGCCATTTGCGGCCACAGCTGTTAATCACCGGGTTCCAGCCTGTGAGTACTTGCCAGCGCTTGGTGATTTCAGAGGATCTCCGATGGCGAGGAGAACTGTTTTGTTTACTAACAGTTCTCCTCCCTGTCAGCTTGGGCACACTGCTGATTACACGGCCCCCTAGTAAAACAATACCAGGACACAGTTAACCCTTTGATTGCCCATCATGTTAACCCCTTCCTGCCCAATGCCATTAGTACAGTATCAGTGCTTTTTTTTTTTTAGCACTGATCACTATATTGGTATCATTGGGGATGTCATTGACACCAAGTCAGTCCCCCCCCCCCCCCCCCCCCCCCCCCCCAGTGTCAGAATGTCCGCCGCAGTCCCGCTATAAGTCGCTGATCGCGGCCATTATTAGTAAAAATAAAAAATAAATTCCCAGTGTATATACCGCCATTTGTAAAGGCTATAACTTTCACGTAAACCAATTAATTTACACGTATTGGGATTTTTTTTAGCAGACGTAGCAGAATACATTTTGGCGCAAATTTATGACAAAATTAGATTTTTTTTTTTTAAATTGTTTTACTTGACATGTTTAATAGCAAAAAGTCAAAAATATTTTTTTCTCAAAATTGTTTTTTTTTTTTTATAGCGCAAAAAATAAATAAAACCCACAGGCGATCAAATACCACCTAAAGAAAGCTCAATTTGTGGGAAAAAAAGGATATAACTTTCATTTGGGTGCAGTGTTGCATGACCACCCAATTGTCAGTTAAAGTAAACGCAGCGCCGTAATGCAAAAAATGGCTTGGTCAGGAAGGGTGGTAAATCCTGAGGAGGGAAAGAGGTTAATACACCACACTTCTCTTTTAAATGTTTCCTTAGATAAAAATGAGTGTTTTAAAGGGTTAGTTAATCTTTAAAAATACTCTATGCAGTCAACTAACCATTCCATAGTGCTATTGTAATCTGATTTTAAAATAACACATTTCTGCTCTTCTCATACCTGGAGTCCATTTGTGAATGGAATGAAGTCTTCTCCAAAGGCTTCTGATAGTATAGCTGATATGTCCAAAAGAAGAGGACCGAACAGAGCTGTGAAGTTCAAAAGAGTCTGGGGCAGGCATCACTGTGCAGAAATGGTCTACATGAATGACCTGACCTGCTTACTGTAAACCAGGAGTAGGTGACATCAGCACTCCATCTGTGGTGATACTACACATCCCATCATAAATCCGCCCCTTGGAGTTATGCCTATGACTGTTCTGCAGTGTGCCCCATGGGCTCCTCAACAACCAGTACTAGGGTTGCATACTCCTGCTCTAGACCTATAAAAGCATCAGTGTATCACTTTGGTTGTTTGCAAGAACAAGCTGCATCTTCTCAGCTTTAGTCTTTTGTACTTCTTTGGTTTTCTGTAAATTTCTGTCATTTTTTGTTCTAGTGAACGTCAATGGAGCATTTATCATCCTTCGTTATCGGTCCACCTTGCAGCCACCCTACCTTGACCACTTTCTGTCAGGCCCAGAAAATGGAGGCTGCTGATGACTGGCAGAGTGTGTGTATCTATCCTGCAGGGAAGTTTATGCGACAATGAAATTGGCAGCAGACGTAAAGTGAAACAGGTGCCTCATGTAGTAATTTACTGTATCAGTATAAACTTTTCCTCCAAGTTTTATGGACTCCAGTTTGTATTGTACCTTTTCCAACAGTTTAAAGGAAAAGTCCACTTTTGCGGGTGCCTAATATTTGAACAGAAACCAAAAACCAGCACAGAAGGAGCGCCACATCAAAATCATAAGAGTCCAAATCACTTTAATGACTCCCTATAAAACATCCATTGAGTTTCAGGGGCTAAATACCCCTCTCTTCATTGGGGCTACAAGTATAGATATATTTATAATTTCATTTAAACTTTCTTCTAGACCTGAAGAAGGCAGATGTTTTTGACCTCAGAAAGAGCTCTTTCTGTTGCTTCATGCTTTGTTACTTTCTGAATACTCATTGGAGGGTTAGCTCTGTTTGCATGCAAGCTGCCCAAACAAAGCCAGTTAGCTTTCCAATTGATTGTTTTCCCTTCATTGCTCAGTTTTAAAAAAATATTGAATTCCCACTGCCCCTTGGATGTATCATTTTTAATATATGACCAGGGCTGGCATAGAACATTACAATGCCCTGTTGCAGGGCTTGCTGTTCTCTGTACTGTTGTTGTCAACAGCTGGAGATCAGCTTTATATTTCATACAAAGGTCTGTTGCCTATTATGACAAAAAAGAATGTGAATGCATTTTTTTTCTGCTGCAGGATGAATGAGTTGAATCTGAGTGCTGTGGGCATGGACCAACTTACCTCCTCCTCAGTTGCCAATGCTCTGCCTGTCTCTGGAAACCACCTTGGGCTTACAGCCTCCCCACCACACAATGCTCTTACCACAACAGGTACAGGGGGTGACTCGGGCTAGGGTCCTTTGCATGCCAGTGATAAATAAATGTCTATCTATGCTGAAACAGTATAACGCTTGCTTGCCTTTTTTTGAATGTGTGATCAGTGGTAACGGCATGGCAGATCTATTTCACAACTTGTGAACCCGTTGCCTTACCTGACCTGCAGAGTTTATACGTGCAACCCTGTCTAAGATTCGCTTTCATGGCTGTCTGTTACAGAAGAGAGGCATCATTACAAGAGATTGCTGTCTTGCAAGAGACTGTCGTATTAGAGGTAGATATTGAAAGGGTGTGAGACACTACTGTTTTTATTGGCCATACATATAGCAATTTAATTTTTATGATTTAAATGGGTCAACGGACCACCACCCTTGTCATAAAGATATTAATATATAGACAGTTGGTTACAGGTACCCTTGATCCATTTAGTCATTTTTGCTGTCAAGATCTGGTAGATGCCTGTTGTGTTTTGTTCTTTTCTTTTCCTGCTTATAGTTCTGCTTTACAGTAATTTTGATGGTAGACAACATAAAGCTGAAAGAACACCAGAGGGCCTACGATGAGTGTAGTATTTAAAAAGCATTTATTGAAACAAGAAAAGTCAAATGACAACTCGCATAACATCGAGCGAAAGAGCACTTGTCCTTCCCTGTGAAAATCGTGGCCGCTAGTAGCAATGAATAATCTAAGCCAAAGGGGAGTGTGCAGTATGCAAAATGATGGGGGATGACATCACACACCAATGGGTGGGATTGGGACGTGTCTTTTTACAAGTTTCAAGACCAGGCCAGTCTCTATATCAAGCCTGTCAATTACATGGACCTTCCAAACTTTAAAAAAAAAAAAATCCGAAAAGCTCAAGGCACTATAATGGTAACGTGGGCATTATAGACCAATGACTAAGAGCAACCATGGCAATTATTAATAATAAAAGGAGAACAATGAATTTAAAAAATGAAAGGTATAATACACATAAGAATAAAATTAAAAACAGGATGCCAATCTTAAATAGTGATAGGTTTTCATTTGATGGCAATCTTTCTCAAAATTATACATGGCTAAATGAAAAAATGTATGAAACGAAATATAAAAAAAAACGCATTAAAAAGTTACATAAAAATATTAAAAGTTATAAAAGGAGGAATCACATAATTAGGCAAGGTGAACATACCTACATGTAAAGTGGATTAATAATATGCGTATAATAACGGAGCAATCATATGTGTAGGAATGTGAGTACACAAAACATTAGCACACGTATATGAAGAAAGAGGTGAATATTTTGTAACCAAATGATCACTGTACCTATATGTGTTTAGTGCTATGAAAATCTATAGACCTCTTAGACAGATGTTGTACCTCAGGATGTATGTTGCAGCACAATGACCTCAATTTCTTCACTGTGACCCCCCCCCCCCCCCCCAGGTGTTAGAGAATTTAAGGTGAAAATCTAATATGTTTCTTGGGCACATACCTTTGTTAGAATTGTTCTGCAGAGGGGAATTTATCAGTAATGGCCTCGACAATCCAAACTTTCAACCCTTGGGAGGCATTTCTGTGAAATTCTGCTAAATGTCTGTGGACACTCAACTTGGTATTGATTGTATGGATTGTTCTTCCTACATATTATATCCCACATGGACAAGTTAAAAGAGAAGTGTAGACCATTTATACATGCCTAGGTGGATGCAACATCGGGCCAATGCTGTATCTGTCCTCCAGCGGCTGTGCCCCCCCCCACCGCGCTCACTGGGGGAGGGGGGAAGGAGCTGCTGACTCAAGCTCTCGGAAGCTCGCTGAGAGGCTGAACCAGGTGCCGCTCCAGCCTCTGGGTTGGATCCCAACTTTAGAGCTGGGATTTTTCCCCAGCATTGACCGGCTGAGTAACGTCAGCAGACAGTGGGCTTAAGCCCGCTGTCAGCTGAAAATGGGTCACAGGAGTAGTACCACCAAAAATGCTTTGGCTGTACTTCTCCTTTTAAGCAATAGATCACAAATTGCAAAGACCAGTTATAGAAGGACATAATAAAATACATCTTTCCATTGGTTGAGACTGTCTTTTGTCCATGTTAGACATGTTTGCAGGTAAGACACGTCGGTTTCTTACATTGTAACATACCTACGAGAGTACCAAACATGGCAACTGATCTTTTTTTGTGTATGGAATGAGAGGATACTTGGTTATGTGTGATCTTCCCTTTTGATATTGGAAGCTTTGCGATAGGCGAACTTGGGTCTTCCAGCGATCAAAGATTTTAAGTGGGATCCTGAAGAAGAATATCTCAATATTTTAACGCCCCCTTCCTGCCCACCTATGTGTGATGTCATCCCGCATTGGCTTGCATGCTGCCTGAGGCTTCTGATATCCTAAGCTCAGCCGGCACACTGCGGACTTCCCTATCCTTTGGCTTAGATTGTACACTGCTACCAATGGCCACAGTTCACACAGGGAGGGACTGTCTACCCGGCATGAGCCTTGTGACAGGCCCTTTTTCACTTATGTGAGTCGCCATTTACATTTTCTTGTTTCAGTAAATGCACGTTAATACTACACTTAGAGTGCGCCCTCTGGTGTTTTTTGCTTTATTGCCAGAGATTGTCTTCAAGTCCTTATGAGAAGCTGCTCCAAGCCTTTAGAAACAATCAGAAGTTAACCCTTTATGTGCCTGATACAGACTTTAGGGAATCTTACCTTGCTATTTGGTGCCCATTGTGTGAATACTCCTTTTTGTGCCATTCATGTTTTATGGTTTGAAACCCTAAAGCCAAACTGCAGCCTTACCTTCAATCTTGCACAGGTGAATAGGCTGCTCCCATGTAATTGAATTGCTTATATGATTTAACTGTACCGTGTGCATTAGAAACTTCAGCAAATCAGATAGAGACTGCATCATTTCCTAGCTGGAGGATGTCCAGCAGAATGTAGCTCTTTCCACTTCAGCCTAACTGTCCCTGGCTGCAGTGCGATTCTGCAGCAATCCTGTGACAGGATCGCGCAGAGATTGCAGCAAACCACGGCCTTACAAATTGTGTTAAGCTTGTCGCTCGAAAAGGAGTAGGAGCATCATTAAAGTGAATGGGATGCTCTGTGCGGCACGCAGAATGGCGTGAAAATCGCGATGTCAAAACCGAGTAGCTGGAATGGGGCCTAAAAGCATTTTGATATTTGAAAAACTCCTGCAAAGAGCCAACCCACTGCTTGCATCAGTGCTGAGGGCTCTTCAGAAGGAGTACTGAGGTAGACTGCTGTGATGTGTTCAGGAATGTATGTACAGCACTTGCAGGCTCTTCCCACCAGGTGTGATCTGCCTGCATTAAATAGAGGAGCACGGATAGGTAAAATCACTGGAACTAAAATAAAGAATGTAACAAATCAGGGAAGGCAAGATATATGCATACCTAATTTCAGCATTAATGTAAAATCTGTTGGTGGCAGGTGCCTCTGATCCATTGAGTCACTTTTTTTAAGCCATAGTTCTGCTTTACACTGATCAATTGGTGGAAAACTTATTGGCTGAGGTTTCCATTTGTGGTGTTTCCTATCCATGGAATGCATGCTGGTGTCTTATTTCCCTTGTACTCCAGTGGTGGGAAGTTCTGTCCAGCAGCAGCAGCCTTTAAAGCCCAGAGAATTGTGTTCTGCTTTCCTTTTGAAACCTCAATAATGTGCAACAATATCGAGCTACAAGATTAATACACCTTTGTTATATGTCGTGGGAGGGGAAGGGAAGAAGCCGGGGGCAAATCGGCTCACTGGTCAACGCCAACAACTTACTGTAACTATTACTTTCAGGTATTGGCCTTCAAAACAAGTATTTATTCATAACATTGATTTTATTTTCTCTGTATTGTGCAGGTCTGCCTGTGGCCATTCCTAACATCGGTCCATCTTTGAGCTCCCTTCCTTCTGCTCTTTCTGTCATGCTTCCTATGGGCATTGGAGAGAGAGGCGTCATGTGTGGCCTCCCGGAGAGAAATTACACCTTGCCACCACCACCATATCCACATCTTGAAAGTAGCTACTTCCGCCACATACTGCCTGGTAGCGTATATTGATATTTTGATTTTCTCTGGTTACTGCATAAAAATTTTAAAGTGATGGTTGTTGTCAAAAGTATACCACGTGGGTATCACTCTAACTAGTGCCACTCCTTTCAGATCTTTTCTTGCTTGTGAACTACCCCTTCTACTGACCTATTCACTTGACCTCCAGTCCTTTTTCTAACACCTTTGTTTAAATGTAAAAACCAATATTTGTTGCTAGAAAATGAAATATAACCCCCAAACATCATATATTTTTTAAGCAGAGGCCGTAGAGAATAAAATGGTGGGTTTTGCAATTTCTTTATGCCACACAGTATTTGCTCAGCGTTTTTTTTTCAAATGCAATTCTTTGTGGAAAAAAAACTTTATTTTTTCATTTAAATGCAAAAAAAACACATTACCTAAACATGTCATGCCTTAAAATTGCACACGCCCATGCAGCGGTGACAAAGGACTTTACTATCCATAAGCGATGGTTTGGTTTAAAAGCCTTTACAGGTTACCCCTTTCAGATTAATAGAAGAGGTCTAGTGCTAGAATTGCGGCCCGTGATCTGACGTTCGTTGTGATACCTCACATGCATGGGATGATTGCTGTTTGCGTGTGTGCGTAACCGAGGTGTGTGTTCGTCTTTACGTGTGTGCAGGGGTGCCCTTTAAATTTTTTATTTTTCTGCTGTTGCTTTCTTTTTTTTAAAAAAAATCCCTATTATTGCTATCACAAGGAATGTAAACAGCAATAGACACATGACAAGTACTCTTTATGGAGAGATCTGGGGTCTATAAGACCCCACATCCCTCCTCAGCCCTTAATAGCATTCAAAAACACCGATCTTTGTGTTCTGAATGCTTTCAGTTTTTTTAAAAGTGGTGTGATTTAGTTCTGAATACATCAGATGTCAGGTCATCGCTTGTGGGTTACTATAGCGAAGAACCTATCAAAGCCAATGCCGGCTTTGTGCGGCTGTCCAGCCAGCCAGCGGACATGCCAGCTGGTTGTTTGGGTCTCCCAGTGGGATGGGAGAGCCCAAGTGAGCCTCGGAAGGCGACCGGGTGGGGGGGACAGTTAGCCGCTCCTGATTACTTTTAGAAGAGAGTTGACCGCCGGCTCTATAAAAAATGGTAACGGCAGCTACAGGTATCATCCCGATATCACTGCTTGAAGTTCAGCGGCGTACGGGTCAAAAGGGAACAGAATAACGGGTGGATGACATGGCTTTTTCTCTATTGCTGTAGTCAGATTTTAATGTGAAGGTTTTGGACCTTTTTAATGCATCTTTTTTTAACAAGAAGCAAATCCGTTTTAAAACGAGTTCTGAAAGCTTCAGTCACTGTGGAGCAATTAGTCTTTAGGACTTTTCATTGGGCTGTACTTGCTCCCTCCACTCAGCAGTGACCTAACAGCTCAATGCTCCTGCTCCTCCCTCCCAGCAGTGGCTCAGCAGCACAGGTGCCCCCTTCCAGAGCTCCTGCTTTGTGTTTACATTGGAGATAAGATTGCTAAGTCACTTCTGAGATGAGAGAAGAGTAATCTCGGCTGCTGAGAGAACTTCAGTAGGATGCCCTAATATAACCAAAGTGTAATTCAAATTGTACCGTAAACAGTTGTGTAAATGGCTCCCATTTGCCATGTAAATGTGGTTTTTGAATAGCTTTTTGTTTTGGTGCAAGTTTAAAACAACCTGTTGATCCTGCTAGTTTCTGCTCCCTGAGGCCTTTTTGTTTTAAAGTGTGTATTGCATTGTTATCATCTTCCTGTGAACTACAAGGTGCTGTGCTGTAATCCACTTTGCTGCAGTCAGTGCTGCCTGCAGGTTGGCTGATTAGCTGCTTTAACCATTTGGCAGCTGTGACTAGAACTTTGCTGGACAGCTTGGTCTGTTAAAAGGAGAGGCAAAATAATGAATCTGCTGGCAGGATCAGCAGGTAATAAAATTACGTTATGGGGGAGACTCCAACATAAAATACTGTGTAAATGTTGGTGACAGACTGCATCGTATTTGATTTTTTTTTTTTGCCCTTATTTATGCCCAATTTGCTGCTTCACTTAGATTCTCATGTTACTCTGTTAAACTTCTGTTCTGTTCCTTCAAAGTTCTCTTTTTGCTCTTTTTCAGGAATCTTGTCCTATTTAGCAGACCGCCCTCCTCCTCAATACATACACCCCAGCTCTTTGAATGTTGATGGTAATGGAGGCCTTCCTGTATCCAACAGCTCTCCATCTCTAGACCCATACCAGTCTGGTGGTTCTGTCGGGCTGGAGACAGGAATGGTGTCTCTGGACAGGACAGTAGGTGGACATTCCAGCCAGAGCTTACACCCTAGCGATGGGCACGAGGTGGCACTGGATGCTGGGATCAGTATGGATAATGTGTCTCGGGTGAACAGTCCCATCACGACTGATCGGATAACAGAGGAACTGACCATAGAAGGCGTGACTGGGGAGCACTCTCAGATCTCCAGTGTGTCTCGCTCCCATGAGTCTCTCGCTGTGGAGGCCAACCTACCTCCGGATGCTGTGGGCCATGCTGGGGTACTGCCATTACACAGCGGATCACTGGAGCTTCCTGTGGTCATGGAGAGCGAGCACCATATGGGGGGCTCGGTCCGGAATGACGGAAAATTCGCTCAGCGATGCTATCCACACTGTGGCCTTGAGCAGTAACTCTGTCAGCGTGGCGCTGTCTACCTCGCATCAGCTCTCCTCTTTAACTTCAGTATCACTGCACGGGGGTGCCATGAGCTTAGAGCCAGTCACAGTGTCTTCCATCACGCAGGAAGTGTCGCTGGCAGGCGGACATGTCGATGCTGGCAATCTGACATTTGTCCCATCCTCCTTGCAGATCGATTCAAACTCCAACAAGGAAAACATGGCCACTCTTTTTACAATTTGTAAGTGGGTTTCAGATAGAATGTTTAGCTATGAATATAGTTGTGGACTTCACATTGTACATAGTCTTATCAATGCAAGTTCTTATTTTTGGTTACACTTTCAATTTTAGGTTGTGTTTTTATAGGGACAGCTGTATTTGTTCACTGCATACGGAAGCATGTTGATTATGCTTGCTGGGTGCCACCATCTTGGAAGTGATGTTAGCAGCCCCAGCAGATTGTCACTCAGGTCACAGGATATAGTATTCCCCTTTGTTCATCCTGTGGCACTTACATAAAAGATTATGTAGAAAGGAAAAGGGAGGGGTGGAGTTGGGCCATCACAGAACGTAATTGGTCTCTCCCAGAAGAGGAGAGGGCTATGATATGTAAGGTGGGAGGAGCAGAGATAAGTATTTGAGTCTGCCTGAAGTTTAATTATCTAGCAAGTTAAGAGATGCACTGCAAGTTAAAAAAATGGTTTATATAAAGGAAAACACTGCAAGTAAGCATTTAAAATACTTTATTTTTCTAAAAATGTACCTGTATTTTTTTCATTGGTGACAGGGTCTCTTTATGTATCCAACCTTCTCCTAAGCATGTGACCATAAGCAAAGTTTTCTTCCTGCTTGCAGGGTGTACACTGTGTAACCGGGCATATCCCTCAGACTGCCCAGAACATGGACCAGTCACCTTTATCCCTGACAGCCCCATTGAGAGCCGGGCACGCCTGTCCCTTCCCAAGCAGCTGATCCTGAGGCAGTCAGTGACGGGGGCAGAAGTAGGTAAGCATGTGAATGGGCAAAGTGGTGATCTCTCTATAAAGCATTCTTTGATTCTGCTTCATATTCATGGAAGAAAGTGAAAATTATTGAACCTCAGCTGTAGCTGTAGAAGCTGTTTGGTTACCGATCGAGTTTTCCTTTTAGGAGTTTGGACCCAGGAAAATATTCCAGTCAGAACTTGCTTTGGCCCCTTAATAGGACAAGAGAGTCAGTCCTTGGAAGTTGCGGGCTGGACTGACAAATCTGCCAATCACATCTGGAAGGTATTTGAAACCAGCTTTGCATGTTTAATATGAGTTGCCTGTGACCATTATAAAATTTAAAGATATTTCTGGGTAAAAAAAAAACATGCTTTGTACATCTCTGCAGTACTTGCATATTTTTCTTTATCTTTTAATGCGCTGCAAATATAAAAACATATCTGTTAATCTGCCAGAAATGACAGAAAACTGACAGCACTGCCTCTGTTGCACTAAAATCTCAAGCACTGTTTTTCAGCCCTGCCCAGTTCTTCTTATTGAATTACAAAAGACAATCCTAATGTTATGGACAGGGCTACATTTAGACCTTGGGGGGCCAGGGCATTTTGGGTTCAGTGGGCCCCCCTTATATAGTGTCGGTTTATATTTTCAATGACAATCAAACATTTTTAAAATGCATAACGGGTCATTCTGAGGGCACATCTGCACTCACACACAGTCATAGCGTAGTGTGTGATTCTCTTGAGCCTCCAAAATTCATTTTTAAAAACGACACAACATACCAGTCCAGAGTAAAAACTTTTACAGATGATGGCTGGCAAAATATTTCTTTACAAGATACATTTAATAAAAGAGCAATCTTTTAAATTCATCTCCATCTCTCTCTCTATATAGATATAGATAGATATATATAGATAGTTAGATATATATCTATATTAGGCCAGGGCAGTTTCCCTTTTTTGCCCCCTCATAGATCCTGCACTGGTTATGGTCCTGGAGAGGTGGAGGTGTTCTTTAGTCCAGAAGAAGGACCTGAGTGAGAGATATCGGGGGGGGGAAGGGGGTCTTGTCATGACAACGCTTACTGTTGCTCATGTATGTTTTAACTCGGAATGGCTCCCAATATGACAATCAGGTGAGCTCCTAAGCAAGACATCCAGAATTTATATATATATATATATATATATATATATATATATATATATATATATATATATATATATATAATTTTTCTGGGGCTTCCCTGCTTTAAGATCATGGGCAGTTACTGAGAGGCATGTTGTGCCTGTTCCCACTCCCCATCATTGAAATTTGTAACTTGCTAAGCTGTAGGTGTGGCCACAGCTGTAGCTTTTTCTCAGTTCTTGGAGTTGTGTGGACCCCAGACTAAGGAGTTGTTTAAAAGCTAAGTCCACCTTTGTTTAAAAATAAAAAATGCACATATTTTTGCAAGTAGAAAAAGTACTCCCAGCTGTGGCTGAGAGGAATCCCCGCCTGCTGTTACAGGTAGTGGGGGCTCGGGGGTGAAGATGGTTCATAGCAACATAAAATACAGATATAGTATGTAACATGTTGCTGAAGGTGAACTTGGTCTTTAAAATGTAGAAAGGTTAATATGCTTCTGAAATCAAATGAAAGTCAGTTCAGCGAACTCATTATTTAGCTTTGAATAAACTTGTAACAATTTAAACGTTTCTTTAAGGTTTTTATTTCTTTCTGTAGCCTTATTGAGGAGTTTACCTTGCTTCTTGTTTATGTGAAAAGGCAAGAAATGATGAAAAAGAGAGAAGCGATTTATCACTGGGACAAAGTTGCACAGATAGCAATAAAAATATTATCTGGAGTTTTGATCCTACTCCACACTAAGTGTTTTCTCTATTCGCCATTGGAGAGATTTCGCAATATTTCCTGTCCCCGATATTACTGTAAAGGGGCACCTTATCTATCCAAAGATAAATGCTATGTTTCAGCTGGAGTTTGGCTTTCAAGTTTGTTTTTTAAAATGATTTGTTTCATGGGGATCCTAAAACACTCTTCTGTCCTCAGATGTACAACAACAATGTGATGGAATTCTGCATCATAACAACAGATGAGAATGAATGTAACTGGATGATGTTTGTCCGGAAAGGCGAGGTATGGAGGGATATATAAAAACCTGTTGAGGAACATGGAATCTTTATAGAGGGCCTTAACGTTGGTTTCTGTTTCTGCCAGGAACCCGGAGGAGCAGAATCTGGTGGCATACCCTCACAATGGGAAAATCTATTTTTGCACCTCCCAGGATATCCCCGTCCAGGAGGAACTGCTCTTCTATTACAGCCGGGACTACGCTCAGCAGCTGGGTATGGTGAATACATTAAATCACAAAGTGAAGTAGCGTTCACCTTTTTGAATACCAAGACTGTTCCATCACTCAGTAGTCGGCAAGACTTTTTTTCTGGTTCAGGGAGTATTTTCAGAAATGCCCAGTACTTCCCAGTTGTAGCGCATAGTCCTATGCGGCCAATTGTCAGACCTAAACATTCAGGACATAAAGTTATTAACCCTGTTTTAAAAGTGATTCAAAAACTTTTTTTTTATTTTAACATGTTATACTTGCCTGCTCTGTGCTATGGTTTTGCACATAACGGCCCCGATCCTCCTTCTCTTAGGTCCCCCGCCTGCACTCCTGGCTCCTCCTCTTCGAGTGCCCCCGTTGGAAGTTGTTTCCCATGGGAGCACTCGTGAGGGCTTGATCTTGCCCGTTCCCTTGTCACAGGCTTTGATTGACAGCAGCAGGAGCCATTGGCTTGTGAGGAGAGAGAGCTGCTGCTCTCGGGCACAGAGCTGGCTTGAGATCAGGCTCGGGTAAGTATAAGGGGGGCTTCGAGGATCAGAAGGTTTTACCTTAATGCAGAGCATGCATCAAAGTAAAAACCTTAAGCATTTAGAACCATTTAAGCTTTGGCACAGAGCTTACCCAGGGACTAAATCATTTGCCTCAACATACTGTATTGACAGAGTCACAGGGAAGATGCCATCAATCTATTTGTGTTTTAGGTGGAGTGAGGGCAGAATTTAATCTTTTGTTGGGTCCTACTGCTGTACAGGCTACAAGCAGGAAGATTCCCCATTATTAAAGTTGTCATACATTATTCCTGTCTCTTGTTTCCTCTAGTTTATACTCAGTGATATGTGGGAACCATGTTAGAATAGTAATATGGGAGGTCCCACTGCGGCTTGTTTTTGGTGGTGGAGGGAGAACCTTTGGTCCATCAAACTCTATTCAAACTAGAATGTTTTAGGTGACACTGCATGTTGTAGAATTCAGTTTACAAATGGTGGTTTTTACTGCTTTTGTCAGGTTTGCCTGAGCAGCCAGAGGTTCTGCTGTGTCATTGTGGGAAGGAGTGTATGTCCTACGCAGAATTCAAGGCTCACCTGAACAGTCACGTGAACAGTCACCTCACCAGCGAGACCCTGAGCAGCGAGGACACCAGCCAAGCTCTGACCTGTAGCAAAGAACGCAAGTGGAAGTGCTCAGTGTGCCCACGCTCTTTTTCCTCATCGTCCAAGCTCAATGTACACTACATGGGGCACATGGGTATGAAACCCCACAAATGTGAGTTCTGCAGCAAAGCTTTCAGTGACCCAAGCAACCTGCGCACTCATCTCCGCATACACACAGGTAAGCCCCACTCACTCCATTTTCTGTGCTGGTTAGACATGCCACAGTACTTTGAAAATCCTTTGTCATTTTGTAAATGTTTAAAAGAAGTACTGTATGGGTTTTCTTGTTTTAGCTTTATCCTATTCCCTGTGAGCTGCTAATACTTAAAAATCTTTCCAGCCCTCTGAGAAGTGCACCCTTTCAGTTAAAATCAAGGTAAATGCCTGTGGGAGGGGTTTCAGTCTTCTCAGGATTTTTATGCCAACAATCTTGTCTGGATCCACCTCCTTTCCTTCTCCTGTGTATTATTGATGTCGGCTCTAGGCTGCTTGCTGTCCCCTCCCTCCTCTGTGTAGAGAGATACAAAACAGCATGTCCATGTTGACAGAGATACCTGTGTTTGGTACACACAGGTCTCTCCCCTATCAGCTTTCCCTGACAATCGCTGAGTGCCGGCCGGAAATTGCTGTCCGGATCCCGGTTTTTGACATCCCTAGCCACTAATAGCTGCGCAGTTACATGGTTATCAAAGCATACATAAAGCCATTTTAAAAAATGTTTCTTTTGATTTTGTATAGACTAAGGGAGTGTTAAACCTCAGGTTTTCATTGCTGTGTTTTTGCTAGGAAGATTAGCATGGTATTGGTCCTGGTGCACATTGTCATTGGAAGAGAAGGAGAGGTGAATTCCAAAATTTTACAGTTGACTACAAAATGGGGGGGGGGGGTTCTTCCAATGGGGACACATTTTCAACGACAGCCAAGAAAAGAACTCTGGGAGAGGAAGTGAAAGGAACTCTCCTCAATGGGAAACAGAATAAATTAAAATATAAACAGGCCTTCCCTACTTTAACCAGAACTAAAGTTTTGGCTATACATAAACTTTTAAAAGATGTAAAAAAAAATATTTAAAAATTAAAAAAAACACTGGGGAGTACAAATCCTGTGATTACTGATCTCAATCTGAAAATTGATTCATGGTTACAGAGAGACAGCTAGCATTGTTAGAAAGCAGCATTGGCAGCCTGCATTAGTACAGGTTTCCTTTCGGTTTTAAATTCCTCGTTTCTTTTCAACCTGGAATATCTTGTTTTATTTTCCATAGTTAATAATAGAACTATTGCACCTGTTTTAATTCTAGTTGCCTGGCTTTTCCCACAGGGCAGAAAAATCATCGCTGTGGTCTTTGTGATAAGTTATTTACGCAAAAAGCCCACTTGGCCTCACACATGGTGACCCACACTGGTGAGAAGAACCTGAAGTGTGACTTCTGTGAAAAGATGTTCATGAGGAGGCAGGACCTCAAACAGCACGTGCTCATCCACACCTGGTGAGTATCTACATCATTCTCCTGGTTGAATTGTGCCATATTGATAAGTAATATGCGTGTGGGACCTAGATGCATGCTCGCCTTTGCGCGTGAGCACAGGGGGAGGTGGATTTAAAAAATGTTTTTATTTGACTTTATTTTCTGGCGTATAAGACTACTTTTCATACTTAAAAATATACCCCAAAAATTGGGGGTCGTCTTATACGCGGGGTATAAAATGTGAAGCTTGAGTTTGTTTGGGTCAGGCTGGCTGGATGTGTGGTAATACTGTACATACAGTATACTGTGCTGAGCCAAGCTGGCTCAAAACAAATGTCCCTATGACAGATTAATCTGTCAGCCCGCTGGATGTGCAGTATATACAGTGTACTGAGCCAAGCGGTTTCAAAACATACCGGTACTTCCCTACTGTAATCAGCCCGCTGGATGCGTGTATGTACAGTAGCTGCGGCTACATATAGTATACACTGAGCCAATCATGGCGAGTGATGTATTCTACTAATGAATACAAAGCCTGCTCGGATTGGCTGAGTCAGAGAGGTGGGCTGATGATGTCACAACCTCAGCCAATCCGAGCAGGCTTTGTATTCATTAGTAGAATACATCGCTCGCCGTGATTGGCCCAACATATACTGTATGTAGCCCCAGCTACTGTACATACACACATCCAGCGGTCTGATTACCGTAGGGACGTACCGGTACGTTTTGAAACAGCTTGGCTCAGTATACTGTATATACCGCACATCCAGCAGGCTGACAGATTAATCTGTCATAGGGACATTTGTTTTGAGCCAGCTTGGCTCAGCGCAGTATACTGTATGTACATTACTGCACATCCAGCGGGCTGTATATATACTGTATGTAGCCGAAGCTACCGTATTACCGCACATCCAGCGGTAACCATCTGATTTGAAGTTTGATCCATATCATGACTGTCTTACAAATGTATCACAAGATGTCATTCATGAACTTATGATGTCAGAGGATGAACATGAGGATTTTGAAGGATTTTAAGTACCGGTAAGTCATAACCATTTCAATTAAAAAATCTGATGTTTTTAAATGGTGTTGCCTCGGAAAGGGGGGGTAGTCTTATACGGCGAGAATAGCCCAAAACCTATGTTTTAACTGGAAAATTAGGGGGTCGTCTTATATACCCAGTCGCCTTATACGCCGGAAAATACGGTAGATTTTTTTTTTTTTTTCTTTAACTATTGCTATTCAAAACTTTATTGCTATCTTTATGGACAGATCTGCGGTCTGTAAGACCCCATATCTCTCCTCTGGACTCCAAAGCAACCAATCAAACTTAGACGGAATTGGAAAAACCCCTTCCTGTGGCCTGTAAAAAGTGATCAGAGTGGCTGTATAGCCTCTCAGATCACTTTTACATAAAAGTGAATAGTCTGCTGAAACTTTTTTTACCAGGATCATGGTTGTAGCCTCAATATGAGGTGTTACACATTTACATATACACAGTGTGTGTGAGATATAGATATATACATACAGTGGACATAAAAAGTCTACACACCCGTTAAAATGTCAGGTCTCTGTGATGTAAAAAATGAGACGAAGATAAATCATTTCAGAACTTTTTCCACCTTTAATGCGACTATAAACTGTACAACTCAATTGAAAAACAAGCTGAAATCTATTTGGGGGGGGGGGGGGGAATAAACATAAAAAACTAAAATAATGTGGTTGCATAAGTGTGCACACCCTCTTATAATTGGGGATGTAGCTGTGTTCAGAATTAAGCAATCACATTCAAAATCACGTTAAATAGGAGTCAGTATACACCTGCCATCATTTTAAAGTGCCTCTGATTCACCCAGTCTAAAGTTCAGCTGTTCTAGTAGGTCTTTCCTGACATTTTCTTAGTCGCATCCTACAGCAAAAGCCATGGTCTGCAGAGCACTTCCAAAGCATCAGAGGGATCTCATTGTTAAAAGGTACCAGTCAGGAGAAGGGTACAAAAAAAAATTCCAAGGTATTCGATATACCATGGAACGCAGTGAAGACAGGCATCGAGTGGAGAAAATATGGTGCAACAGTGACATTACCAAGAACTGGAGGTCCCTCCAAATGGGTGAAAAGACAAGAAGAAAACTGGTCTGGGAGGCTGCCAAGAGGCATACAGCATGAAAGGGCCAACCCCAACCCCTAAAGAACAACCCCACACCATAATCTCTCCCCCCCCCCCCCCCCCCACCAAATTTTACACTTGGCACAATGCAGTCAGGCAAGCACTGTTCTCTTGCCAACTGTCAAACCCAGACATGTCCATTGGATTGCCAGACAGAGAAGTGTGGTCACTCCAGAGAACACATGGTGGCGTGCTTTGCATTGCACTTGATGTAAGGCTTGGATGCAGCTGCTCGGCCATGAAAACCCATTCCATGAAGCTCTCTATGCACTGTTGTTGTGCTAATCTGAAGGCCACATGAAGTTTGGAGGTCTTTTAACTATTGATTCTGCAGACAGTTAGCAACTTCTGCACACTGTGCATTTCAGCATGTGCTGTCCCCGTTCAGTCATTTTACGTGGCCTACTACTTTGCTGAGTTGCTGTTGTTCCCAGTTGCTTCCACTTTGTTATAATACAGATAACACTTGACCATGGAATATTTAGTAGCAAGGAAATTTCACAGATTGCACAGGTGACAACCTATCACGTTACCACGTTTGTATTCACTGAGCTCCTGAAAGCGACCAATTCTTTCACAAGCAGTTTGCATGCTTAAGTGTTTTTGATTTTACACACCTGTGGCCATGGAGGTGATTGGAACACTTGAGTCCAATGATTTGGAGGGCTGGCCCAATACTTTTGACAAGTGTGTATGTGTGTGTGTGTGTGTTTTATTATTTATTTTTTACATTTAGTATCACAGATATTTTACTTGTTTGTACACAGCCACTCTATTATTGTTTCTTATCACTAACAGCGCTACACTCTAATTACTTGTTATGTTGCAGGAACGCTATTAGGTGTTGGCAACAGTTGGAATAATTTTCATTTTATCACTTTTTCATTATAGCACTGGTAGTGCTAGAGTTACATACGATTTACCACATTTTTAATTCTGTATAACACTGTAGACGCTGGCTACAATATCTAAAGTGGCCTCCTTCAACTTCCCTAAATGTTTTGCATCACGAGCTCCCTTATCACTTGATTTGGGCTTGTCTCATAATGAATATGTTCTGGGTACAAATCCTATTGGAAGTCTTGCAGTGCCAAGCATTACACTCAGCTTTGCCTTTACTCCTACATGGACTTTTATTTCAAGCTTGTCCATTGCATGTGGTCTGATTTATAATCGCTGTGTGACTTCTTCCTTTCCTGTTTTTAAATGTCTCCTAGTTGCTTTTTAAAACATCAAGACCCTGTGGGCATTGTCTGCATCACTGATTCACCTTTCCTCCTTCTATTCTTACATGTGCAATAAAAGACTAGCAGACACTGTTTGTTAGTTGTTTTTATTGTTTTGTTTATTGAAGGCGGTGCTCAATAGTTACGCCATATATAACAGATAAAAGCCCAAGTCCAAAAAAGTTAGGATGCTGTGTAAAAGCTACATTAACCGAATGTAATGATTTGGAGGTCTAACAAACCCATATTTTATATACAATAGAAAACATATCAAATGTTTAAAATGAGAAAATGTACCATTGTGATCCCACTGCTGTGTACTGCTTTCTAATCTGTGCAATTTGGTGTTGATCTTATGTAAGCAGACACTTTTATGCTTTGTTTTTGTGCCTTTATCAGACTTATGTTTTCTTTGAAAGTTTATAACTTACATTGCACTTTTCTAAATAAACTATTGGAAATTAAAATGTACCATTGTAAAAAAAAAAAAAAAAGTAATTTTGAAATCGATGGCAGCAACACATCCCAAAGTTGGGACAGGACAACAAAAAGCTGGCAAAGCAAGTGGTACCAACAAAGAGCTGGAAGAACATTTTGCAACTAAATAGGTTAATTGGCAACAGGTCAGTCAGTAACATGACTGAGTATAAAAAGAGCATCTTAGAGAGTCAGTGTCTCAGTAAAGATCACCAATCTGTAAAAAGTTGCATCTAAAAATTGCCGAACAATTTCAGAGTAATGTTTTCTCAACATAAACTTGCAAAGAATTTAAATATCTACAGTACATAACACCCTCTAAAGATTCTGAGAATCTGGAGAAATCTGTGCGCAAGGTACAAGGCTAAAACACAATATTGGCTGCCTGTGAATTTCAGGCCCTCAGACTGCATTAAAGCAGGTATGATTCTATGATGGGTGTCCGTGATTTTTGGAAGTATTCCTGAGAACAAAGTTTGCTGTGCCATCCAAAAATGCAAGTTAAAGCTCTGTCATGCAAAGAAGCCATATCTGAACATGATGCAGGAACCACCACTGTGTTGTGGCAAAAGCTCATTTAAAATTGTTCTGTAGTCAGATGAATTGAAATTTGACATTCTTTTTGGCAACAATGGGCACCGTGTCCTCCAGACTAAAGAGGAGAGGGACCTTTCAGGCTTGTTATCAGCACTCAGTTCAAAAACTTGCATCTCTGATGGTATGAGGGTGCATTAGTGCATACGGAATGGTCAGCTTACACATATGTAAAGACACCATCAATGCTAAAAGATAACTCCAGGTTTTAGAGCTGCATATGCTTAGGCAAAGACAGGACATTTCTCTCCAAAAGCTCCAGCAAGTTTCCTCAGCTCCCAGACCTTTACAGAGTGTTGTTAAAAGGAGAGGGTATGCTACACCGTGGTAAACATGGCCCTGTCCCAATTTTTTTGGGATGTGTTGATTCCAGCCGTTTCAAAATGATTTGTTTTTTAAAATGGTTTAAACATTTAATGTTTTCTATTGGGAATAAAACATGGGTTTATGACACTTGCAGATCATTGCATTCTGTTTTTATGTCGGTTTTACACAACGTCCCAATTTTTTTGGAATTCAGATTGTTTAATATTGACGTGATCACATTGTCTTGCAGTAGGT